AAAACAAGCGAAATGATGAACGGGGAGACGTTATAGGCCCTGTCGCAGCCCCCAACTAGCATGATTATTGATAAAGAAAAATTAAAACGTAGAATATGATAGGCACCGGCTTACCTCCGCCGGGTCGTCCGGGTTGTCGTCTTCTAGGTTAGAGGCCGATCGCTTGGCCTTGGCAGGCTTCCTCTTGGGTGTTAGCTTAGGTAACTGAATTTTGTGCACACTTTCTAAATGAGTACGCATTGTAGAAGGAGTCCCCGAATACGCGAGCTCTTTACCGCACTCGTTACATTGTGCCACACTTTCCCCCGCGGCATTTTTCTTTCGTTTGGCATAAAGCCACACTGCACTAGGTGGCGGCATTATTGATGCGCCCCGCCCACACGAATTTGGATGTTGAAGTCACTGTCAATGTAGGTTTCAATATTTTCTTGCAGCACACTCACTTTCGGCCCACTTGACCATCAAAACACAACACCCCAGGCCAGGCAACACGAGCTGGGCCGCGCAGTCACTCAGCGCATGCGCGTAGTCGCAGTGTTGCCAGCCGAGCTGCCGAGCGCCGAGCACCGCCTGCTGGCAGGGCAGAGGCTCGGCAGCTCGGGCTCGGGTAGTGCCTCCTCGAAGCTGCGCGAGGTTAGAGCGTCCGAGCGTGTTCAGATTTTAAGGGAAATTCGTGGATTTGGGCTGATAAACAGTATTTATCATAAAATCGAAAATCGTCGTGTATTAATCGAGTTTTCGATTTTTCTACATGTGCACAATCGATTATGAAATAATCGATTAGAAAAGAGAGTAATCGATTGTAATCGAAAAATCGAGATCGACGTTTCCAATCCTACTCCAAACTCTAACATATGACTGACCACTGGGGGGAGACGAACCCCTGACTTTTGGGTATTCGTGGCCCGAAACTGACGCCTCAGACCACTCGCTCAATGTGTCCTACCCGAGAGAGGCTGGATGGAGATGAGAAGCCATTCGAAGCAGAGGAGCGCCATTCAAAACAAACAACTGACGATCAAGACTAGAAGCAGACGACCCACCATGGAAACCAGACACAGTCCAGCATCTCCAGCAGCGGATCATCATGGATCATCACGGATTGATTCATCAAAACCAAAATGATAAAAGCTAAGTACTTGAGTAATTAACATTTAATTAAATGTTTCTTAGATAAACTCAATGGTGTTTTAGATAGGAAATTAGCTAGATAGTCAGGACAACACCAAGGGACAGGCCTAACCTTCAGAAGGTTGCTGTGTTGATAAAGTTAAACTATGCAAAGGCATTTTGTCTCTTTCTATTTCAGTTAATCATCATCCAGAGTCAACACACGGGTACAACGCCTACTTCATACCGCTACCAGGAAGCAGCAAGATCATCGCTACCAAAGTCATCAACTACCAGAGAACTTCAAACAAGAACTTCAGGAACTCCTATCATCAAGTGTTTTAATTCTTATATTTTGGCTAAGACCCAGAGAGCAGCTTAGTAATGTTTGAGATCTTCACGTCTCGTGCAGGCGAGGGATGGGAGTGCAACATGAAAAGCTGTGAGACTCAGGCAACAGGTGTCAGTGGTCAAAGCCGTTACTTTAATTTATTTTATTTGAATTCATTGAATCTCAAATGCCAAGGTCTGGACAGCCAAGGCAAGCACATTAGGTTGTGTTGAGAGACTTTAAATCTTGCAGGAAATTTTCCTTACAGGTCTACCTAAATTCATTGCTGAAAGTAAATTAATCACAAAGTGTAAATTGTTTGAGCTTAGAGATTTTTGAAAGAAGGGAATTCCAATTCCAAAACCAAAGACAATTATTCTCTGTATAAGACCAAGTGTGAAAGGAGTAAGGGTTGGCAGATCATTTCATTTTAATTAAAAAAAAAAAAAAAAAAGGCACGTATAGTGTAGTGTAATAGCTAAATATAAATATTGAGAACTATAAATTCGTCTAAGTTCAGTCCATGGTCTAGTCGAGAGTCAGTCACACACTACTATCACTCGCCATCTATCGGCAGACCCCCAAACTACGTCGCCACCCAATACGTTCTTCTTTAAGTTCTTCTTAAACCTTTAGTTCTTCTTTAAGTTCTGCCTTCCATTGCCCTATAAAAGCAGGCGCCAGCTTTGACTCGGCGCCACACTGTGACCAGCGCTTGATGTGAATACATCGCTCTTAAAAGACTCTGGACTTTCATTCCAAACACCCCTCTACCCGTTACAGTATACACTTTTATAAAAGCTTATACAACATTGTACTCGATTTTATAGAAACGTATACAGACCTCTGTATAAAGTTTTACCAAATATAATAAACTTTAATAAAATTTCATTTAAATTTTTATAAGGGTGTATACCTTTTGATAACATTTTATAAATTTTTATAACATTTTATAAAATTTGTATAGAAACCATTATTACCCGGGGTTGTCTGACGTTTGTTTGTCGTTTGTCGATGAGAATGGTCAGGCGTTTGGCTACGATTTGGCTACCGATAGGGTGCCGATTGACTGACGATGACCTGCCGTTACACTGCGCTTTACCTACGAATTAACCGTCACCCTCGACAAGATTCAGACAACATTCAATTTGCCTCGGGTATTCAAAGCAATATTTTGTTATTGAACCCTTTATTGGACCTGTTGGATAAATTATTGGACCCATTGGACCCGTTGGACCGTTTATTGGAACCGTCGAACCTTTCACTGGACCCATTGCACCTCACTGTAAATCAGAGTCTGATACTGAATGCACGATTTATGTGATACAGAAATATTGCACAATGTCCTGATGGTCATCGTAGAAAAAGTACAGCACTTAATTCATTGCTTATATTTGTGATGACCGTCACTTATTTGAGCGACACTTCGATGTATCATAGTTTTGTGAAATATACGTCACACCGTTTTGAGATAAATCCAGAGTCATAATGCGTCCAATAAAGGGCCCAACGAGTCCAATGCGTCCAATAAAGGGTCCAATCGGTCAAATACAAGCCACTGTAATTCGAAGTGTGATACTTTTCCCACATTTTCGTGTGATAAAATTTCCTGTGTGATTCCGATGATTAATCACTCTTGGGGGAGTGATAAATTTTTATCAAAACTTACAGGTAATACACAACCCCCCACTTTAATCCATGCGCCTCTCTTGCAAATAGTACATCCCGACACTCATTTCCTTAATATACTATTTTATTTGGGGCGCGATAGTACTGTTGCTGTAGTGAAAACTCATAAAATTGTATGACATTTTCAAAGTTTTGCGTCGCGAATGTGTCATGTTCCCTCGTATTGTTCGAACACAATACACATATACCCACACGAACACAATTATTGTCAAGATAATGATCGTGTCTGTATCTTTCTCGTCCAGTTCCATACATCTGCGGGAAACTATGTTGTTGGGGCCAGTCGAATAGTGATTCATTTCGTGACGTTGTCCGCTGCAACGTCAAATTTCACCTTCACGATCACGACTCGTGAGAGTGTGAGAGAAGAGTGTTGAGTTATGTGTTTCAAGACTAACGGCAACCTAACTACCGCCGCTCAGCAAACATCACGCAACACGCAACATTTAAGCAGAGGGCATCTATTGTCATCAGGGCACCGCTTGACTGACAACACTGGCCCGTGGGACGGGCGCCATGGATTTTACCGTGACGACAGTCGTCATGACCCTCGCTCTCAGCACCGCCGTCAACGCGCAGCGAGGAACTAACGGGGTGGCGGTAGGAAATATTATTGCGTTTCATATGATTTCCTAAAGCACATCAATGCCTCCTGACGAGGAAGTTCGATACATAGCGGTGCGGTCACACAAAGTTCGTGGGAAGCTTGGCCTGCCGCGCTGACACCTAGGACGAGGAAAGTATACGAGAAAATCCATGGGAGTATAAGGGGATGGAAAGGCAACGACGGGCGGGCCAGGACCTGCAGGGCCAAATGTGCGGCTCATTTTCTCCTAAATCATCTTCTGCCATTCTGTGCCGATATCAATCATAAGAAACGCCCACTTTGCTGTTTTGAGGAAGTTGTCAGCGGGTCGTTTTCTGCGACTTAGCACAGGCGTCCGTCCCGAACCCGCACTGTAAATTGCTTACGAACTATAGGTTCGTAATGCAAACCAAAACGTTCGTAGCTTACGAAGGATTGTAAAACGTTAAATTACGAACTAATTGTTCGTAAGCTTACGAACAAATAGTTCGTAATGCAAACCGATTGTTACAGTGCGCCCCGAGCCCTGCCGAATGACTGAGGCGCGGCGGATAGCGCGGCGTTGAGGCGGAAGGGTGTGACGGATCGAGCTGAAACTTTACGCGGCCATACAATCGACCTCCCACTATCCGATGCTGCTTTCGTATTTTAAATGGGTGGAATCGTTTAGGAGAAAATGAGCCGCACATTTGGCCATGCAGGCCCTGGCCCGCCCGTCGTTGCCTCTCCATCCCCTTCTACTCCATGGGAAGAAGGTCTGGCATACATCTACCATGTTGATATTACATTAAGTACATCAATACTCGTGTTGCTTGTAATACTTGTAATTCTCGGAATTACTTATAATGTGTTTACTTGAGTGACTCCTGCTCGCCCTGGAGTCACTCAAGTATACCATCCCCTTTTGCATAAGCCCACTCGGCAGCTTTAGTGAAGCACACCCAGAGAACCATTTAGTTGATACAACCAAATCAGGGTTCTAAAAAAACAAAATTTTTCCTAAAACTGACTAAAATTGAGTAACCCCTTTTTAAACGGCCCCGTTTCTGCCAGACAGTAGGGGGGCTGGTGGGGCGAGCGCGACATGGTTCAAACCTGTTGAGCAGCTTCACACCCACGCCCAGGTACCAGAGCAACAATAGACACCTTGCTCTCTGAGTAGTCCCCCCCCCCCCCTTCCCCCGCTGCCCAGCGCCCACACCAAAAATTATGGTCAATTATAAAAGTAATGATTAATAGGCTAATGCACAAAAATATCACGTAAAAAGATACATTAAGGACAAGAACAATACAGCGATCAGGCATCGGGTACCTACATGGCGTCCGAAAGTGGATTGGAGTAGGGTACTCGCACTATCGCTTTCGGACGCCCGCTTTCGCATGCCCGCTCGCTGCAGAGCTCTCATATATATATAGCGCATTTTCTCACAAACCTACGTGCAGTAATATGTTCATAAATTCTACGTCACAAAAACAACAACAATATATAAACAAAAACTAGCCTTAGAATCATTTTTCTTTTATTCATAATATATTGCTCGAAACTGTAGAATAGGAAATTTTCTTAACTTCGGGTCCGTTTATGGTTAACAAGAATTGTTAACGTTTCTAACCAAATGGTAGCACCAATCAAATTAAGTCAGCGAGACTAAATTATTTCATCGCCACGGATAAATTTTGTCCTACAGAGCTAAAAATTCGTCGGTTTTAAATTTGGTTCTCTGGACTAAACGGTCTGCAGAAGGCTAGGCTAAAAACGGTCGTGTGAACTCCCCCACGGCTACCCAGTTCTATACCATCCGTTTACATTTGAAGGGCTGGCCAAGCTTGTTTTCATAATTGCCATCTTCCTCTCATCGCCGCATGGCTCTCTCCGTAGAAGGGCGTTTTACCTTTCACTAAAGTTCCGAAAAGAAATGACGCACTGCACCAACATTATCGAATGTTTCTTTTCGAATTGAAGAAATATTTGTCTCTTGGAATTCCAAAAATAAAAAAATTGACTAGTTGAAAATATTACTGGAAGGAAACTGAATTTGGTGGAGCCATGGAGCAATTGAATAATTGGACTTAGATTCAACGAGGAACCGATTATTACACAGAGGTCGACATCCGGATTTGAACGCAGCTCGTTAAGTCCCGCTCGACTCTGTCACTCGTCCCGTTCCACCCCCTTTCGGTCCAACTCGCTCAGTCTTCCACTCACCGAGACCCGAACGTGTCAACGGGTCCCGTCTGCTGGCCAAAGCGTGGCGTGGCGTGGCGCGTAGGCAAAGTAGGTCCAGCGCCACGCCAAGTCACGCCCTCAGGTCATCAGCAGGCGAGACTCGGTCACTCAAACGGGTCCCGTTCGCTCGGGTGCATTCGACGAGGTTCGGCACAGTGCCATCTATAGGGTAGAGGATACAGTGATTGTCCGGGCTATAGTGATTGTCCCCTGTGAACATGAACGTCCCTGGCGGGTAAACGGTACGTCGCAGGTAAACCGGGCATAGTGCCATCTATAGGCCGTTCTTTTCACTACTGAGTCGCGCAACCATCACCCCGCCCGTCTCTCTGAGATGGGAGATACAGCCGGCGCCACTTGGGACTATACAAACAGTGACGCACAAGCTGAGTTTCTTAGCGCTCGGACTAAGAGCAGAGGGTTAGAATCGGGGGTGTTTAGACCGAATGCCGACGCATTTGTTCGAAAACTTCTTTGCGGATAGGTTGGTAAAGGTTCTTTGTACCACATCAAAAGAGATAATGCAAATATTCGGCTACAGCTTGCTGTAGCGGGAAGACAATCACTGCTTCCCGAAAAGCTAATGCGACAGTGATTGTCCCTCCGTCGAAAATAAATGTTATTCGAACAGAATGTTACTCGTTTTCACCCTCTGCGGTCTCTCGAACCCCATTACCACCCCCACTGCCACTGAACGAACACTGCCAGGTGTTCACGTCTCGAATAGAGATGATTTACAAGTTTCTCGGACTTTCACCTAAGAATCGCTTTTCAAATTGCGCTGAAAGCACCATAGGAAACCCGTCGAAGGGCTGGCATACCGCGAGTTCAGGTAAAAGTATTCTGTAGACACGCGAAAGAAACATGATAAGGTCAGATACAGGCGCTTCGGCTCGGGATTGGCTATGTACAGCATATCAAAATGTCGTAAACGGACGATTTTAGGACGTTTCCCGCCTTTTTGCGTGCAGGGAGCCAGTAAAGCCACCCTTGCAGCCTATAGCTGGCATATCATAGATTTTGCAAAGCAGTAGAAGTGCTTAGAGCACGTAACGCACAGCAAAATTTCACTACTTTACTTGTTTAAATGTGTTGAAAGAGAACAAAACATTTCTTGTCGGAAAAAAGGGGGGTAGCGGTTGTTTAAGGGAGGCAGATTACAGTCATGTGGCCTGAATAGGCACCCAAAGTGATAACCAAAGAAATCTGTATTAACACTTTTATCGACAAAAATGGGAGGGGACAATCACTGGACAATAACTGTGCCAACGGGGTCAGTCACTGTGACAATCGTGCCCTACGTTCGTGGGCTGTTTAAAGCAATGGGAATTCACCAGCCACCGCATAGTCCGAGCCCAAACCCTTACCTAGCCATTGCAAGTAGCGAATTTTGAAAATTTTGATCAGCAGCTCGGTGGCAGGCAGGTGTATGCACATGTGCGCTTAAAGGGTCAATCACTGTATCCTCCACCCTATCTCGCGTTGCTCGCTCTTTCTCTCTCGCGCAGAGACTGAGACCGGCGGCGGCCAGCAGTGGGGCCCGCGGAATCCGACCTCTGCTATAACACGTGTATTTTTTTTTGATTTCATTGCTTCAGGGTCCCTTTCGGCTTATTGCGGATCATATTGAGGAGTGTCCACAAGAGATGCAACCACGCCGGAAGTTATTCGAGATGACCGTAACAGCTTTTCGTGATCGTAGGGACGTTGACTTGTGGCACTACTCAGCTAATGGGACGACCTATATCACAGTAGACAACAATTTGACGGTGAGCTGACGATTCGCCCGGTCCCAAAACCAGAGAGTTACTAAATTTCCTCTCAATTTCTTAGTTTCCTACGACGGCAGATCGTTTTAGTGGCATTTTAGCAACTCGAAGCGAAAACTGAAAAACAAAACTCACTGATTTCACAATTCATCGTAAAACCAACTGTCTACAATAGGGTAAGTCGTATATCGGTTATTTTCGGTTCTTGGGTTGCAATAGTGTTTTCCAGGCGCCATTTTGGATGAAAACTCCTGGAAACATTTTTTAAGTTTTTTCCTTTAACGTTTTCGTTACCCTACCTTGCCTGTTATTCTGGCCTGCCATAAGAGGTGGTTTTGAAAACTTCAATTTTGGTCGTATTTTTTTCTTGACTAAACACGCCATTTTACGGCCCTCTGGGTGAAAATTTTTTTAGGAGAAGGCTCTATCTCAGCCGGTTTTCGAGCCAGGAATTATAATTGGAAGGGAAAAGGTTGCTTATTTACAGCAATATAAAAACAATTCATATCATGCAAACCGGCAGAGATAGAGCCTTCTCCTTAAAATTTTCACCCGAAGAGCCGTAAAATTGCGTGTTAAGTCAAGAAAAAAATACGACCAAAATAGAGGTTTTTAAAACCATCTCTTATGGCAGGTCAGAATAACAGGCAAGGTAGGGTTATGAAAACGTTTAAGGAAAAAACTTAAAAAATGTTTCCAGGAGTTTTCATCGAAAATAGCGCCTGGAAAACACTATTACAACCCAAGAATCGAAAATAAGCGATACACGACTTACCCTAGTCTACAATGTAAAATTAAGGAACGGCGTGCCTGCACACTGTAAGCCCAAGTGTGTACACAGTACACTCTTGTGTACACTTGAAAGCACACTGAAGGAAGTGTGTGCCTGGCATGGCACACACAAGGAAGTGAGTAAATGCATGGCACACACTTCGAAGTGTGTACTTGCCATAGCGCTACGGTATGTGGCGCCTACATACTAAGACGTGTGTGTCAAGCATGTACATACTTCGTAGTTTGTGCCATGCCAGGCACACACTTCCTTGTGGGTGCTTTCAAGTATACACAGGGGAAAGTGTACAATATACACATTTGGGTTTACAGAGCAGGCACGCACAAGTGTATACCTGCCGTGTTCGACTGTTGCAAGTGCGTCCCTAGCAGGTACACAGGTCGTAGAGGTGGGGCGCACGGCGGTAAAAATTAACTCTTACTGTCAGAACCGGGGTTCTGCAAAGATGGCAAAATAAAGGAGATATGAATCGGTTTTTTCCCCGGAACGAAAGAATTGTTATTTACTTCAAAACTTTTCTCTATTTTACACACATGGATAGGCACAGGCACGGCTGAGCAGGACTAGCTATCTTCCGAAGTCGTAGTGTAGGCTTCTCGTGCCAATACCTGGCAGGGGGATACGACTGCCAATGCTTTGCATGCTGATGTCCAGCGCCTCTATCCAGCAATACGCTTAAACGCAGGGCTCGCAGGCTGGTGCTGGTGGGGTGCTTCTGCTTCATTGTGCGCTCGGCTTTCAGGTGTGGGACATGAAATGTTGAGTGGTGGTTTTAGTTTTTGGTTTTACACTTTATAAGCTAGCATTAACCCCATTCCTCTGTGAAAACAGATAAGAACCTCGACATCCACCTAAACAAGGTAGATGTACACGCCAAACCACGTCTTGCGTAACAGGCTTCGCGATATCTCACGAAACACTGTTCCGCTGTGACGCGCCTGGCATGCATCTACCTTGGCCTGCGGCGCTGACATCCGAGTCGGGTAGTAGGAAAATGTACACAAAGGTACGGGCCTACGGCCTGTCAACGGCCCGTCACCTCGACTAAGCATACAGGATACAGGGTTGTACTTTTTAGCCCGCCCTTCTGCTTTGAAAAAGCTATTCAGCGGGCTTGTCTGTCTGTCTGTGTGTCTGTCTGTCTGTCTGTTCCACTAGAAGGAGATGTGCTAGAGACTTGAAATTTTCAGGGTATCTTAAGGTCCACTCCTAGAGAACGAAACGCCTACGGCAAATCCTGACAACCCCCTTTAAAGGACTAAAAGGGGGTATCAAAGAAAAAAAAGTAGGTCAAAAAGTCAGAAAAAAATACATTTTTCATGATCTCCTAAGGGATAACCCGTCAAAGTAGAGAACTATGGGCAAAAATTTTGTCCGTTTTGCTCTATCTTTCACCGTTTGGGCGCTAGAGGGAGTTTCTCTCACAAAAGTGGCCCAAAAATAAACATATTTATTTTAGAAAATATTGGATGGTACTTGTCTAAGTACAGTCCTTCGACCGGAAATTTCGTCCGTTTGGCTCTATCTCTAACCGTTTAGGCGCTAGAGGGTCTTGTTTGACGAAAATAAGTTAAAAATTGCTGTAGTGAACAATTAAATGAAAAAGAAGGCCCAAAACCGCAAAAGAGGTAAGAAACTCCCTCCCCCCACCCCAAAAAACGTTTCCTTAGCAAAAGGGTGGGTTGTAGTCGCGGTATTTCACCGTTACATCCCTTTCTTGTGTCTACGGGGCAAATTTTAAGGACGACGGGCTTTGCGGGCCGAAGGCCCGTTACATCATTTGATTATGTTCTACAGCAGATCGCGTGACAAAAATGGTCGGGCCGCAGGCCCGACCATCGCCGCCGGCAGGCTAGGCAGGCCCGGCCCCTGCCGAACGGAGTTGCCGGCGCAGCGAAGCGAAGCTGGCAACTTCGTTTGGCGGAAGGGCGGGCCTGCTTGTTTTGCTTATGTTCGTCAAAACTACCATCTAGCCCCTCAACGGTTTGAGCTAGAGCAAAACGGACAAAATTTTCGTCCACTAGGATCTACTTTGATGAGTTACCCCTTACGAAACCATAAGAAAGATATTTTTAAAAAACGTCAATTTTGTTACCTTTTGTTTTTGATTTTTTTTAAATCTAATTTTTCAGGTAGGATGCTCATCTTCAAACTCGATCTGGCTTTTTATTAAGACACAAAACGACCCTGAAAATCCAAGGTCGCTCGCGCACTTTGTTTTGAGTTTTCGTGCGGACAGATACACAGACAGACAGACAAAGTTTTTTCCGACCAGACGGAGTAATTGGCTTCGCTAATCGCTCATCCAACAAAAAAAGAAAACTGAAAAGGTAAATTCAGGGAGGCCTGGGAATCCTCCAGGCCCTCTGGTTTGAGGTAGGGGGCTAGAAGATAGAAAATGGGAAACTGTCTAGAGAGATTAGGGGGGGGGGGGGGGGGTGAGCGAGCATCTGCGGCCTGGCGGCGAAATTCCACCTCCATATCCTCGAGCTCCGCCTGGGCCTCCAGGACGAAGCGATGGAGGTGCTCAGTGTCGCGCTCGATGTCCTGGAGATCCTGCTGGACCTGAAGGTATACTCTTTTCTGAGATGGAATGCTTGCTCTAGAAGTTCTGGCAAACTGCTTTCTTGCCTTTTTCCTCTGATGAATTAATCTTGATACCTCATCAGTAATCCATAGATTGTATTTATATTTTACTGTAACATTTTTTTTAGGGACAAGATTATCAAATAGATCACGCAATGTACTATAAAAGATCTCAACCTTACCATCAACATTATCACAGTTGTCCACACTCTGTCAGTCAATTTTATCTGCATCTTCTTTGAGTTCTTTTTCATCAATATTTTTAAAGTCTCAGTATTTAATGCCCTTGGGTTCAAATGTTGGAGATGAGAGATTAATACAGACATATAACAGACATGTAAAAGATCATGTCCCAAGAAACCAGACGCAGAACTCTTATCAAAGTCAACAGTAAGTTCATCACAGTTGGTTGCAATTATATCTAGAGCACTATCACATGTTGCAGTATGGGAGGTACTGCCATAAGGAATACAAGTAACATTATATGAATTAAGTAGGGTTACAATGTTATCAGTTTCACCTGACCGCGCTTCCAAATCTTGCACTCATCTCCACTTATCACTACATATACTATATGTTGGAATGTCTGGGTACGAGTCGTCGATAAATGTTTCAAAAAGGCCAACCTTGGGTGGGCGATAAACACAGGCCATTAAAACTCTGTCAGATTTCGACTTGATCTCAACAACTATGTATACAGGTTTATGGTCATATTGAGATTGTGATGTAAACACTTTCACTTCAATAAAATTTTGTACATAAATTGCCATTTCGCTACCACCCTTACCAATTCTATCATTCTCATACACATCATAACCAGGTAATTCAGTTCTAGGTCCAGGCTTAAAGAAAGTTCACTCACTGCCATAACATGTACTCAGTAGGTCACAAACGATAAACAAAACTCTTTATAGTGAGAGCTTTCATTGAGAGATTGTGTATTAAGATGCACAATGTTGAGTAAAGAAAGAATGACTTTTTGCTTTATTATCTAGAAATACTTTCGAACTTGGCATGGTGGAAATAATAATGAGGAGACAGAACAACATATTAGCAGGGTGTTACCACCACTTAGTTTTACAAAATCTCTTTCACTTCTTATGATAGTTAGCCCATCTCTTTTCAAGCTGGCATATTTCCCAACTACTCTTTTAAGGAGGGGACAAAACATCACCCAACAATTATAGACCTACAAGTATCCTCAACGAGATATCCAAAATACTGGAGCAGCTTTATTAAAAATGAATTGTCATAAACTTTTTTCTTCATCTCAGTACGGTTTCACTGCAAGGAGGTCAACTGAATGCGCAGCATTCAATGCCATTAAAGACATACAAACAATATTAGACAAGGGTAATATCTCAGCTGGACTCCTGATCAATTTAAGAAAGGCCTTCGACACAGTGGATCATGGACTTCCGCTAAACAAGTTGGAGAGTTATGGTATCAGGGGTCCCTCTTACATGTGGCTCTCCTCATACCTCTCAGCAAGGCAACAATATGTACAAATAAATGTAGTGAAAAGCCCAATGGTGAACATCAAAATCGGAGTCCCTCAAGGTTCTGTAATGGGCCCTATCCTTTTTATTATCTTTATAAATGATATATCTCTACTGCAACTAGAAGGAAAACTAATGCTTTAGGCTGATGACATTCTTCTCCTATATGAATGAACCACAGAAGAAGAGATCATGACCAAGATTAATATGGACTTAAATAGAATCTCTGAATAGCTTGATATAAATAGACTCATCATGAATGTTGAAAAAACTAAATACTTGTTCTTCCATTCTCCACGATACTGTGTAGGCTGTACTAATCTTGTTCAGATCAAGAGCAATACCATTGAGAGAATTGACAAGGCAGCATACCTGGGTCTGAATCTTGACTCTACTGTGAGCTGGAAGCACAACATATTGTACCCAGCCGCTGCTCCGCAATCATCCCCTGCCTGGGGCTATACGGCACGGGGCAGCAGTGGTACCAGCGATGGATTGCGAGCGCGCTCGACTGCCTCTGACACGAGGGCAACGCGGGAGTACCTATGAGAGAGAATGGCGTCCTGCTACATGCAGTCAAGGGCACGGGCAGGCGCACGCACTTGGCTGCGCCGCAGATGCGACGACATAATCGGTGTCGATCTCGCCATCAGGAGGGCACGGATCGGCTTCCTCAGGCACATCGGTATCGGTAGGTGGCGTGCCGACGATCCGCTTCGGATTGCCTTTCACCTGCAGCTGGGCACAAAGAAGATCGGGTGGCACTGCCTCACCTTTTGCTTCGTCAGTTCAAAAGGCACGGACCCCGGCACCGCAGGGTGGCTGGGAGCCTGTGCTGCGTGACCGGCCCGGTTTGAGCCCAAGCCTCAAGGCGGTCGTGGACGACATGTACGGAAAAAAAATAAAAATCATATCGGCGCTAAACGTCATTAGCGGGCCCATATCAGCACCAGTTTGCTAATAGTACTTGCTGACTTGTTAACAGGTTCAGCTAGGCACGATTGTCGGTTTAGCTAGAGGTCTAGAGCTGAATAAGCTGTCGCAAAAATGGTCTGGTCTGACTCTTAGTCCATATTCATGGAGAAGTGTCATACCCATCTGAATCCATTTGCTGTACTGCTAAAAATGTGCAAGCTACACCAAGAAACACTGGTTTCGATTTAGTAGTTCATAGGTCTACGCTAGATGGCACCAACGACTGAAGTTCTCCGTTATATCTCGATGGGTGCTTCGTGTGTCAATTTCTTTGGGTGTTTGGGGTATTTCGCTCCCATTACACCAAGAATTTGCGGCCGCTGGTGGAAATTCTGATAACAATACTGAAGACGGCACGTGAACCTAAACTTGGATTGTTGAGAAAAGGCAGAAGCCTGACTCTGGCCACAAGCGTACGTGACATGCTTCTGCCATATACGCTGGTTTTGTTTGACTGTTCTTGCTTATGCTTTCTACCAGAATAAATTGCATCCTTCAACCCTTTGCTTCTGGTTGAGGAGAAAGTGCTACTTGCCCTGCTACGGTGGGCCCGCCACACCCCCTCCCTGTGCTTTACCCCCTTCCAGGGATCTTGCGCCACTAATCCGCACACTCCACTGTAAATCCGAGTGTGATACTGACTGCACGTTTACTGTGATAAAGAAATATTGCACGATGTTGTGATGATCATCGCAGCAGAAGTATAATATTCAATTCATTGCTAATATTTGTGATGACCATCACTTATTCAAATGACACTTCGATGTATCATAATTTTGTGCAATATGCGTCACACCGTTTTGAAATAAATCCAGAATCATTACATTACTTTGCAGTGAGTTTCACACAATTTTGTAATAAAAATTCATCACACCCCCAGGAGTAATACATCACGGGAATCACGCAGGAAATTTTATCACACGAAAATGTTTGAAAAGTATCACACTTCGAATAACTGTGTCGAGTTTAGAGCCACGGCTCTCGGTTGTTGCGCGCGGAGTGCAGCGACAGGTCCCTACACTGTAATTCGAAGTGTGATACTTTTCACACATTTTCGTGTGATAAATCGCCCCGGGTGATTCTAACGATTTATCACTCCTGGGGAAGGGGTCAATTTTTATCACAAATTTTATGTGATGCCTATTGCAAAATAATGCGATGATTTCGGATTTCCTACAAAACGGTGTGAATGCACATTGCACAAAGCTGTGATACATTAAAGTATCGCTCAAACGAGTGATGGTCATTACAAATATAAGCAATGAATTTAATATTGTACTTTTCCTGCGATGATCATCACAACATAGAGCAATATTTCTGTAGCACAGAAAACGTGTAGTCTGTATCACACTCTGATTTACAGTGTATGGGTTTGTGCGACGTTCGCCACCCTACACAGGGGCCTGTCTTTGCATAACACTTCCTTTCTAGACAAGTCCCAAGGTCTGCTCGGGCCGGCCCTGCAGCCGGTTAGCTTTTTCAAGAGAAAGGTCAAGAAAAACTTTACGTTCCTGTTTTTAGCAGACCCTTCTGCTTTGGAAAAGCTATCTAGCGGGCCTATGCATACAACCTCGTATCTGTGTGTCTGTCTGTTCTACTAGAAGGAGATGTGCTAGAGACTTCAAATTTTCAGGGTATCTTAAGGTTCACTCCTAGAAAATGAAACGCCTACGGCAAATCCTAGCAACCACCCCTAATGAGCTGAAAGAGGGTATGAAAAAATCCGGGGTTGGTCGAAAAAGTTAACAATTTTGTTCAATTTTTAGCCCGCCCTTCTGCTTTTAAAAAATCATTAAAGCGGGCTTATGCAACCACTCTCGTGTCCGTCCGTCTGTCCGTCGTCCGTGTAAGAGAAAGGAGATGAGCTAGAGGTCTACAAATTTTAGTGTATCTTAGGGGTCACTCCTGGACAACGAAACGCCTGGTGCAAATCCTAGCAACAATTCCTAAGGCGGTGGAAAGGGGTAACAAAGAAATAGGGGATGGTCCAAAAAGTAGAAAAAAAAATATTTTTAAGGTCCCTTTAAGGGTAACTCGTGAAAGTAGAATCTTGCGGGCGAAAATGTTGTCCGTTTGGCTCTATCTTGCACCGTTCGGGCGCTAGAGTAGGTTTATCGCCGAAAATACGTCGAAAATGACCACGTCGCACAAAAAGACGTAAAGGAGGCGTCCAATCGTAAAATGTCAGAGGAAGTACCCCCATCCCCCCTATAACGGCGTATTCTGAGTCAAGAACTGCCCTCGGATTTGCCGTATCTTTAACTGTATCGAAGCTAGAGGTGGATATATTTAAAACAATGACAAATTGTCAAGTTTGAAGACTGTTTGCCAATCAATACACTCCAAAAACTGCGGCTGTTTATTCTTTTTTTTTATTATTCTTTTGAAAAGCAGAAGAGTGGGGTGTAGTCACGGTGTTGCCCCGTTACAGTATTTTCTCAAGTCCAGGGAGCAAATCTTTAGGGCCGCACGCCCCCCGGAAGCCTTAGTTTAGTCAAATGCAAAGTGACTGATAAGACGGACCAACAGGCCCGATTAAACGACACCGGCAGGCCAAGCTAGGCCCGGCCCCTGCCGAACGGAGTTGCTTGCGGAGCGAAGTGAAGCTGGCAACTTCGTTTGGCGGAAGGGCGGGCCTAGCCTTTTTTTTTTTTTTTTAAATCTCCTAACAGGTAACTTGTGAAAGTAGAATCCTAAGGGCTGCAAATTTGTCCGTTTGGCTCTGTCTTTCACTGTTTGGGCTCTGGAGATAATTTTTGGACAAAAATATGCCAAAAATGACTATGCTGTACATAAAGAAGTAGAAGAAGGCCTCAGATCGATAAATGACAGATGCAGCACCTTCTGAATCGGTCCTTGGAATTGCTGTATCTTTACTCGTTTCAGAGCTAGAGGTCGTTATATTTAAAGAATGGAAAAAAGTCCAGTTTTAAGACTGTCTGAGTAACAATATAAGCTGAAAACTGTGCCAGTAATTTATTTAGTTTTATTCATTTACAAAGCAGAAGGGTGAGGTGTAGTCACGGTGTCGCACCGTTGCAGTCTTTTGTTATGTCCCGGGAGCTAATCTTAAGGGCCGCAGGCCCCCCAAAAGCCTAAGTAAGTTCGAAATACATATAGTGACTCGTAGGTCGGGCCGTATGCCCGACGAAACGCAGGCCAAGCAGGGCCGGCCCGAGGGGGTTTTCACTTCTGAAATACCGTGTACACCAAATGAGGTATTTCACAAGTATTTCACGTGAAATACACCGAAATACGCCTAAATATGCTCCAAAACGGTGAACTTTTCCTGAGAAATACCGACGAAATACACGTATTACGAAATACTGTGTGCACGGAAATCTCGAGTGAAAACCCCCTCGGGCCGGCCCCTGCCGAACGGAGTTGCTTGCGTAGCGAAGTGAAGCTGGCAACTTCGTTTAGCGGAAGGGCGGGCCTGCTTGTTAATGAAGTTTGAGCGAGGGTTCTGCGGTGTTTAGAGGTGTCATTTCACACTGATTTGGTTTAATTGAATAGGCCTTAGCCAATTTCGCGTCGTGGAGCTCAACCGGAGGCTGGAAGGACAACTTCTTTCGTTTCACTCTGCCAAGAGCCTGCGCTACGGCAAAGGCAAGATTTCCGGATCTATGGCGAAGAGCGATGATCGCCCTCTTCAATGATCCTGATCGGGACTGCCCTTTTCCTCCGGTAAGACAAACCCAAACTAATTACAGCAGGGCAGCCCTTCCGCTAACCGGAGCTGACAACTACATTTCGATCCGCTAGCAACCCCGTTCAGCAGCGGCAGGCCTGACACATACGTCGTTTGTGTACAACAAACGTTGACTAAAGGCGTGTTTTCCCGTGCCTTTAGCTCCTTTCGGCGCAGATATGAGGACGTGCCTCTCCGTGGCATGACGGCTTGGCACAGACAGGGTAAGCCAGCCCGCATAGCGTAGGTGTACGGCGGGCCGACCTCCGTGGCCTCCATAGTAGCCCTCTGCGGTGCGACTGCTGTCAGTATTTGTGCGAATTACCAGTATTCACTAGAAGGTAGCGTAAAAAAAGGATTTCAGATATTGAAATGGCGGGTATGCGGAAAAGTTGTTTTTCTAGATGTAGAATATAGTGCAATTTTTTAATTTTGAGATTGGGCAATATTTTCCGATCGCGCAACGAGCTCAAAGTTATGCATTAGCTCTTATGGGAAAAATCGTCAAAAACCATGAGAAAATGAAAATCGAAAATTTAGGCTTTGTACGTGATGTTTTTTGAAAATCTGTTTTCAGAAATGCAATCTACGCCAAACAAGGCATCCAGTGATGTATCACACTTGATATTGCAACCCATGGTTTAGGCGGTGTAGGCTGCATAATTTCATGACTTCTGTGCAATTTGATGGAATTTGGGCTTAAATTGATACCTGGCCGGGACTGAACCGCTCACTATAATATCAAGTGTGACACATCAGTGGATGCCTTTTATGGCGTAGATTGCATTTCTGAAAACAGATTTTCAAAAAACATCACATACAAAGCCTAAATTTTCGATTTTCATTTTCTCATGGTTTTTTACGATTTTTCCCATAAGAGCTACTGCATAACTTTGAACTCGTTGCGCAATCGGAAAATATTGTCCGATCTCAAAATAAAAAGTTGCACTGGATTCTACATCTGTAGAGACAACTTCTCCGCATACCCGCCATTTTAATATCTCAAAACCTTTTTTTTTCGCTACCCTCTAGTATTCACAATGATAAATCATATGTGTACTCTCCACAGTACGGTTACTGGCGGGAAGTGTTGCTGGCATAGTTTTTAGCAAGCATTTGTGACTTCAGTATCCTTAAATCTACAGAGTGAACGGCTTGTGATAAGGTTCCTTTGTATTTCTAATGGTGTTTGTGTACAACTTATGTTGTTTGAGTATAACACACTTCCACACCGCATCTTCTACCAGATTCTTCGTCAAAATTTGTTTCAGGTTCAATCAAACTGATCCTGATGATCCACATGATTTCAAAATAATCCATCAAAGTGTGTAGTCTTAAAAACGTAAACTGTTGTTGATTAAAATACATCCTGTCCAAGTGTAACAGCTGTCTTGTTCATGTTTTCCTATAGAAATTATCATCAATGGTACCCATTGTTCGCACTACTACATTGGTCAGAAAATCATAGAAACTTTTTACAATATAACTTCAGGGGTGTTGCTCTTTAAGCTGACCATTTTGGCATTTTTCAGAAAAAAAAAATTGGGGTCTTAGTTATTTTACCATTACCAATGTGTGAGTGAATTTTGTTTCATTGCATCTTATTTTATAGTATTCCCTCGTGAGAACTTTGAGCCTAACATGCTTATCGACGCATCCGTGCAACACTGGCGAATCTGTTTAGGACGGACGAACAAGGGCGAATCTGAGAAGGACGGATGAACAAGGGCGAATCTGTTTAGGACGGACGAACAAAGGCGAATGTGCTTTTTCAGAATTCCCGCAGACCTATCTTCGAACGCTTCATACTCTTTGATGTGACGTCGGATCGCTTCAGTTGAGGTCGTGTTCTATTGAAGGCTCAATGACGGGTGAAATGATACTTACCTCGTTCAAAGTGATCTGACGTCAAATCAAGAAGTGAGAGACGTCTTAGGTGTGCAGAAATTCTGAAAAAACACATTCGCCTTTGTTCGTCCGTCCTAAACAGATTCGCCAGTGTTGCACGGATGCGTCGTTATAACTGCGAACCCGGGGACATTAGGTCTTGCAGCCCCTTCTGCACTGTTATTCGAAATGTGATACTTTTCACACATTTTCGTGTGCTAAAATTTCCTGAGTAATTCCCATGGTTTACTACTCGTGGGAGTGGGGGTGTGATAAATTTTTTTCACAAAATTGTGTGATACTCATTGGAAAATAATGATGAATTTTTATCGAAAAATTGTGTGATACTCATTGGAAAATAATGCGAAAATTTTGGATTTATCTCAAAACGGTGTGACGCATTTTGCACAAAACTATGATACATCGAATTGTCGCTCAAATAAGTGATGGTCATCACAAATATAAGCAAGAAATTTTATATTATACTTTTTCTGCGAAGATCATCACAACATCATGCATTATTTCTGTATCACAGAAAACGTGCAGTCAGTATCACACTCTGAGTTACAGTGGGGTTACGTGATCGTCACTTCCTATGGGAGAAGCGCGCCAGCGCGCCTACAATAGCGCCTTGTAGGGAGCTGAAGGGCTGAAAGTGTATGAAAACACGCAGTTTCACCACGTGTGTTGTACTCAAACAACAAAAATTGTACGAAAACAACAGTGGTAGTGCAAAGGCCCCTTATCACAAGCCGTTCGCTCTATCCCTGATGGCCAGAAGGTCAGAAATGCGTGCTAGTAACTATGTCAACAAAACTTTTTAGCAGTTAACATTTTGTGGAGAGTGCGCAGATGATTAATCATTCATAAACTCGTACTGAATAATGGTAATTCGCACAAATTGTGACAGCTGCACTGTAAAAAGCTTACGAACTAAAGACTTTGCAACGTTACGAACAATTTTCGTTCTTTGTATTGCAAATAAATTGTTTGTATTGCAAAGCGATTGTTTGAAAGGCTAGACAGGGTCTTACGAACAATCGGTTTGCATTACGAACTATTTGTTCGTAAGCATACGAGCAATTAGTTCGTAATACAACGCTTCAAAATCCTTTGTAAGCTACGAACGTTTTGGTTTGCACTACGAATCTATTGTTCGTAAGCAATTTACAGTGTGTCGCACCTGCGGGCTACGTTAGGTCACCAGGGAGGCCAGCCCCGCGCACCCCAACGCTATACGGGGTGGCCTACCCTGCATGTGCGAAGGCGTCATGGCGCGGAGAGGCACATACTCATGTCTGCCCTGATAGGAGCTCTAGGCGCGCGAAAACGCGGCCTTGCTCAACGTTTGTTGTACACAAACGACATGTTTTGTGTACAACAAACCATGATTTTCACTTCAATTACATCTAGTGCCTAAAATTCCAGAAGAAAATCCACTGCACTATTTTCAACGACACTAAGAAAATGAGTTTTTTGAGCGAATTTACAGAGAAAAACTAATATTTGTCTTTGGACGAAGGCATGGCGTTGTACGTACATATAGAGCGGTCACTTTGCTTCCTTTTGGAGAAGCAGTTTTCGAGAAAAATGGCATTACGTGCTCGTATTTCTTTTACTCGTAGTTGTTTTAACAGCAAAATAATGCCTAGTTTTCAGAAAATTTATGAAAGTATTGCACTCTGCAGCGTAAAATCAGCTATAACTCGGAAATTCAACTTTTTTTACAACATTGGCATTTTTGGGGTGAGATGTCAGTATTAATCCAAAGCACACAAGTCCTAAAAATTTCATCCACTTTAAAAATAAAAAAAAAATCACTGGAAACTCAGGTGTGAGACAGGCTCACACCAAATGGTGTGAGGCAACATACCTCACACCAAACAGTGTGAGGCAAACATACCTAATACCAAATGGTGTGAGACTCGTTGTGTGCAAATGGAGTGATACTTCCTCATACCAAATGGTGTGAGGCACGGAGGGTCCCACACCATTTGGTGTGAGGCACAACGAGTCTCACACCATTTGGTGTGAGGTATGTTTGCCTCACAACGTTTGGTGTGAGGTATTTTGCCTCACACCATCTGGTGTGAGACTGTCTCACACCTGAGTTTCCAGAGAAACCCATGTCGAGTGACCCGAAAGACATGATGTGGTTTATAAACAATCCTCAGCAATACTGAACCGTGGTAGCTAGAAGACCCGAGGGGGAAACGAATACGGTAATCCGGCTGACAGCCGTTCGGTAATCTGGCAGGGGTAGGTAATCCGAGTAAATTCTAAAAAATCTGGGGTAATCCGGAGAAATTTGGGGGTAATCCGGAAAAATTTTGGGGTGATCCGGGGTAATCCTGGAGAAAAAGCAACGTAATCCGAAAGACACTCCAGAGGTATTCCAGGTAATCCGTAATCCGGCTGACACAACATTTAACAGTCGTTTCCCCCTCGAGAAGACCAGATCAGAATGTTTCTTAGACACCCGAATATTCAACTTTGGTCAACTTGGACCGGCTCATCCCGGGTGGAAGGATCTTTAGTTAAACTGTAGTTTGGACTATAGCGTTCAAACTGCAGTCTTGAAACTGCAGTTGCAGAGGAGAAAAAAAAGAGAAATGAGTATAGTTGATACATTAGTTTGGCAATTGAGTTTTCAGATATTTTATTATGCTACTTTTTATGTAGTTTTCCACACTAGTTTCGCACTGTAGTTTAAAGACAGTTGTAAGACCAATTTACTATCGAGTTTCCGACATTAGTATGAAGTTGTCCTGAAAGTTGTATTTGCATCTGCATTGCAACCAGTACACTAACTGTAATTCTGACAAGATGATAATAAAGAGCAAGAATTTAATCTTTTCACACCATTAATTATGCAGAATACCCATAGTTGAACTAGCAGATAACATCAATAGTACCAATCTGTATTGGGAAAACTAATTTTTATACAGTTTCTGTATATTTTGAGTAATCAGAGATATAATTTTGATTAAACAAATCGTGAGACTTGTGAATATTTTTGATCTATGATTATATAGCATTACAGTTTGTTGTACGTCTACAGTAGTTTCAATTTCAAATAATTTAAGGTTTTTTCGTGAAACTTTCACTCACGCTCCGTCAACATTAAGGCCAACACCAAACACCAATATAGTTTACTTACCAAACACCTTCAATAATCACAGAATTGTCAGTAGTCGGGAGACATACACTGGAAAAACTAACATTACCGAGGTAACGTTTCTTGACGCGACCAGACCAAACCAGGTAACGTTTGGTGATGCAACCAGTTTGTGATGGCCCTATCCTTTTGCATGGGGTAGGTCGCGTCAGGAAACGTTACCGGTCTTGGTCACATGATGAAACGTTACCATGGTAACATTAGTTTTTTCCAGTGATTTCTTGCAAGATTGGCAGTTCAAAACGAAGACGCTTTAGTTAAACTATGCTTGAACTGTAGTCAAACTACAGTTCGGACTGCAATAGAGGGGTTCGCTAGGCTCTGAGGGACATCGGGTAACGGCACACCTTCCCGTAGCGTGGCGCCATAGCCCAGGGGTACAGACCTCGTCTCCGAATCGGAAGGTTCGGGGTTCAAATCCCATCGGTCGCCGTCAACTTTCATCATCCAAGTAAGTAACTTCGAGGGTAAAATTGGTAATTCGAAAGGGAGAAGCGTAACCAAAGTAAATTAGGGCAACGTGGGGCATAAAAATTTTCAAATTTGAAAACAAGAACTATACTTATAGTACACAGCAAAACTCACATTTAACTACAGTAAAACTGTAATTTAAGTTGCAGAAACCTGGCAGAATTCTGAAACGAACTATGGAAAACTGTCGGAAAACTGTAGTTTGTCCGAAAAAAGTGGTACTTTTCGTACAGTTAAACTATAGTTTTTCGTACTTACAATGCAGTTTAAGCATGTTTTTCTGTACTTTAACTGGAGTTTCAGAACACTGAAACTACCATTTAGACACACTTGAAACCCTACTTGTGACTTAGACTCGCATGCACTCTATCTGCATTATAAGTTGAGAAAAAACTTAGAAAACTGATGCAGTCAAAAGTGTAGATCCTTCCACCCGGGATGTATTAAAGGGTTAAGAATGTTCTTTTTTTCAGGGGGGTGCACTTCCTCTACCATATTGCGATTGGTGAGCCCTTTCTACGGCGCTTTATGTTCATCACAGCAATTTTTCGCTTATTTTCGTCAAGAAAGACCATCTCTGCTAATCTTAGTGCGTAGTAGTTTGCCAGTTTAAGCTGCGAAACAAAAGTTCTGCAGTTGTAACTGCGAAACTTTTAAGTTCTGCAGTTGCAACTGCGAAACTCTTTAGTTCTGCAGTTGCAACTGCAAAACATTTAAGTTCTGCAGTTGAAACTGCGAAACTTTTTAGTTCTGCAGTTGGGCGGTCTTTTCCAATTAAATTATATGTTACACTTGTACAAGTTGAGGCCAAGTTTCAATACTGTATTAAAAATTTAAATTAATTAAGATAGCATTTATTTAAAAGAAATGCAGAGTGATAATGTTGCAACATAATTGTTCAATAGCTCAGACAATATGGCTGGAAATACGGGGGAGGCCTACCACTCAAATGACTACTGAACAATTACCGAGTTCTATATTCAATAACCCAAGCAACAGCACCGGAAATGACTGGGTGAGATGGTTTGTACTACTCACAAAAGTATGAGAAAGTCACTGGGTAACTTTGCTCTTCTTCTCAGAACCCAATACAAAAGCATTCATTGCATCACTTGGTAGCAGCCTAGGGCCTAGGCTAGGCTGGCACAGCCTATGGGCAGCTATAACCTTAAATCTACCCAATACTAAGGCAGTGTTTGGATATAGTAAATTGGGCTCAGGCTTGTGTGTAGTTTCCAAATCGATGCAGACGACAAAAAACGTCGACAAGACTCCACTGTCATAACCAGGACACTTTAAAATTAAAATAAATCTCAAATCGTACTCTCGGTACATTTTTTTCGCCATGTTTACTTTGAACTAACAACACTGAGCTGCCTATAGCGTCTGCTGTATTACTTGCCCTCCTTCGGACTGTCGATAGTGGAAGTCGATAGGTTTTGTAGTGTATGTGCTGCCCTCTAGCGGCCTGTCTGTAAGGTAATTCTGATTGTGCCAATAAGTTCTGTACATACGATGAAAGGCGGCTATGGGCAGACCTATGTTGTTAATTCAAAGTAAACATGGCGAAAAAATGTACCAAGAGTACGATTTGAGATTTATTTTAATTTTAAAGTGTCCTGGTTATGACAGTGGAGTCTTGTCGACGTTTTTTGTCGTCTGCATCGATTTGGGAACTACACACAAGCCTGAGCCCGATTTACTATATCCAAACACTGTCTTAGTATTGGGTAGATTTAAGGTTATAGCTGCCCATAGGCTGTGCCAGCCTAGCCTAGGCTGCTACCAAGTGATGCAATGAATGCTTTTGTATTGGGTTCTGAGAAGAAGAGCAAAGTTACCCAGTGACTTTCTCATACTTTTGTGAGTAATACAAACCATCTCACCCAGTCATTTCCGGTGCTGTTGCTTGGGTTATTGAATATAGAACTCGGTAATTGTTCAGTAGTCATTTGAGTGGTAGGCCTCCCCCGTATTTCCAGCCATATTGTCTGAGCTATTGAACAATTATGTTGCAACATTATCACTCTGCATTTCTTTTAAATAAATGCTATCTTAATTAATTTAAATTTTTAATACAGTATTGAAAGCTGGCCTCAACTTGTACAAGTGTAACATATAATTTAATTGGAAAAGACCGCCCAACTGCAGAACTAAAAAGCTTCGCAGTTTCAACTGCAGAACTTAAAAGAACATATAATTTAATTGGAAAAGACCGCCCAACTGCAGAACTAAAAAGCTTCGCAGTTTCAACTGCAGAACTTAAAAGTTTCGCAGTTGCAACTGCAGAACTAAAAAGTTTCGCAGATGCAACTGCAGAACTTAAAAGTTTCGCAGTTACAACTGCAGAACTTTTGTTTCGCAGTTTAAACTGGCAAACTACTACGCACTAAGATTAGCAGAGCTGCCGCGCCCAGGCGGTGAAGGATAGAGCCAAACATACAAACTTCCGCGTGCAGTTACGGAACCCAAAAAAGATGTGTTTTGTTAGGGAAGCTCTTCCCTTTGTGTCCCCCCCAACGTAAGTCTTCTAAAACCTGTGTGCTTGGGTAAAGAACGGGAATACAAAAAGGTGATCCTAAATAAGTTTAGCGCCATACCGATGAGTGGTAGAAGTAAACGTGCGAAATTTTGGTTCAAAGATCTCATGTTGACGAGTTGCCCGTTAGTCTTTTTCTTAATCCTTCACGAAATGCCTTGCTTTTACAGGGATACTATTCCGTACGGAATGTGTCTACGGATTTCCATATGAAGCAGGTACGAACATTCTTCTACGGGAAATATCGCGGCACGGGCACACTTATAAATAGCGTTACCAAAGAAGTTATCGCCTGCAAGCGTGGGTTCTTTAGCATTGTGCCGAAAACTCAGAAGCACTCTGATAAGTTATAAACCTACATAAGTGTGCGACACGGGTGGAATACACACTGTAACAAAAACGTTAAGAATTCTTCGTAACACCCAAACAAACCCGGGTTCCCGGAAGAAAAAAAAAACGTAGCCAGATAATATGTATGCAGCGGTATTCCATGTGGCAAAACAATAGTACATTATTAGTTTTTATAAAATACTATGCACTTCACGTACATTGTGGCAATTGTATTTTTCTTTTGTAGAAAGACAATTTGGTGCCTAAACGGTTAGAGCTGAATGGACGGAATATTTAGTCTGACTCGTCCTATTCTGACCAGTAACCCTTTATGAGACTATGAAAAATCATATGATTTTTAACTTTGCCTAGAAGGGTCCAATATATTGTCCCTAAATCAGGAAGGTTAGAGAAAACGTCCGCAGAGAGACTCACAATGGGAGCAACCCGACATGTCCACGGTAAATACGTCCACAACAGTTTGGACGTAAAAGAAGCGCTTTGCGAAAATACGTCCAATGATTTGGACGTAAATTAACGTCTGCGATTATTACGTCCACAGCGTGGATGTACTTACGGTTCGTTTAGGTTGGTGAAAATACCTCCACAAAATCTGGCGCTAATTGTCGCCACTGTGATTCACATCCTCAGGAATGATCAAACGAACCAAAGAATAAACGCATGCCCGTATGGCTGTTTCTTCTCTACACTGATAAACTAAGTGATCAACTAACACTTGTATTGTAAGTGTGCAACAGAGTTGTTGTGCCTGTGCTCTTGCAAGTGTTAAAGAGTTGTACAATTTTGGTTTATCAGTGAATGAAAATCACCATTGTCTCGGCCGCGACTGCGTACAGCGGGGACATGATCGGCAATGCAGTAAGCCCAAACCAGCAACGTAACCCGCGCCCGCGCTAACTCTATGAAAATCTGACTACTCGATCAAGGGTGGGAATGGCCTACACATAGAGCGTATTTCTAGAGTTTTCAGACTAGCACAAGCTTGACCTACACTTGGGTGTGTAGGACCTTTGTCTTGCTCTTGCAACTATCGTACTGGTGGATTTTCAGAGTGAGGGCAGAACGTCATCCGTGTGGATGTAAATGAAAGGAGACAAACGGCAACAGATTTTGTGGAGCTAATTTCACCAGCATCACACGGCTCGTAAGTACATCCACACTGTGGACGTAACGAACGCATCGGTTAATTTACGTCCAAATCATTGGATGTAAACTTGTGGACGTGTTTTCACATCGCGAAAATTCTGTGGATGAATTTACTGTGGACGTGTCGGTCCCGCCCCCTCACAATGTTTACGATTGACAATTGTCAAGCAAAGTTACAGGTGACAGACACCGGTTGGATCCAAAAGTAGAAATACAAATACTCTTTCTAGAGACAGCATATGTAATAATTACGAACAAAATACAATGGTAGTAATGAAGTTAGGTTAACAAATACTGTACGCCAAAATACCGGTGATATTCAGCTCTCAGTGAGAAAGATAGGACAGTGTAAAACTGTTTGTGTTGAGAAAATCAATAATAGAGTATTTCTGGCAGAGTCCATTTGGATTTTCATTAATAAAATGCAACAACTCATGCTTTGTTATCTGTCTGACATGAAGAACATGTGTAAAGAAGCCAAGAAATAATTTCCCCACTCTTCTATCTCTGGCTGATATGTGTTTCAAATTCTAACTGTGTTATTGAAGATACTTTTAATCAGTGCCAGACTCTCTTTCCCATAATACTCAGATATGAAATGGTCGTTACCATTCAGAGTATGTGAGATAGATTCTACATGCATCCATACAGGACCAGTAATGTTTTAAGTTCATTGCCTGATGTTAAAATAAAAAAAAAACACAAAATCAAAAAATATTTTCTTTTTTTCCCTAAGTCTCACTCTGAAAGAGTAAAATTCTATCATAGAATCATTGTATCATAGTCCCTAGCATGTCCTTTGCCTCAAAATAATTTTCAGTTACACTCATCGCTTAACCAAGTTTTAGTTGCGGGGCTAAGGACTAAATTCCTTCAGCTACTCAAAAATGGTCAAAGTATGCCATCATAAGATTCAAAATGTATTACACAATCATTGTATGATGCTAGTGTGTCTCTTGCCTCGGAATAATTTTCATTCATCATATCTTTAACTAAGATGATAGCTTATGATTTGACTCGAGTAAGTGTGATGACTAGATCAAAACCACTTCAATTTCTGTAAAAATGTGAGAAACAGAATCAAAATACATTCCAGTATCAGTACTTGATTGTGTTGAGTGTGTGTCTGTATCTCAAACTAGGTAGATGTACGCCAGACCACGTCTCGCGTAACAGGCTTCGCGATATCTCACGAAACACTGTTACGCTGCGACGCGCCTGGCATACATCTACCTAGGCCTGCGGCGCTGACACCCGAGTCGGGCAAAAGGCAGAGTCGTGGATAGGCCTTCGGCACCAAAGGACACAAATTTTACCCCCAGGATTTTATTTTGACGAGTTGCCCCACCAGAGACCATCAAATATCTGAGAAACAACATTAAAATGGTTTGGGGTCATTTTCGTGTTAAAATCGCCCTCTGGCGACTTAACGGTTAGAGATAGAGCCAAACGGACGAAATTTTCGTCGGAAGGGTTCTACTGTGACGAGTTACCCCTTAGAAAACTATAAAAAAATAATTAAAAATTAGCAATATTTCCCAAATGCATTTCAAATGGCCCGTTCTCGTCCAATTTTTGAGCTAGAGGGCTCAAAATCAATACAGTTCTTGCTTTTTATGATACAAAGCTACATTAAAAATTTCAGGTACCTAGCTCAAACCGTTCTCGAGTTATCGTGATTACAGACAAACACACACACAGACAGACACGAAACTTTTTGATCATCAATGGAGTAATAGGCTTCGCTATCGCTCAGCCAATAAATCTCAGTGATCAACATCTATGAAATCAATTCATCAAACATCTCGTGGCGAACAAGTTCGTAAATGGTTGAGGGACAAAGGATAACAGTGAGATGAGAAAATAAAAAAAAATCATGATTTTATTGGTTTAAAATAGCTAAGGCTTTCAAAAAAACTAAAATAAATCTTTTACACAAGGTATATATACAAGGCTATATACAGCTAAATAAAAAAAATAGAAAAGCTAAGGCTTTCAAAAAAACTAAAATAAATCTTTTTCACAAGGGATGTATATAAAGCTATACAGCTAAATAAAAAAATAGAGAAGCGTAGGTAAAAAATAAAAACCTAACATGCTAGGCCGGCACCACCACCTTGGCCGCCGCTGCGGCCACCACAATAACCACCACGCCCCCTCTTGTTCGCGCCAAACTCAGTGTGAGGTTCAGTCTGGGAACAAATTGAACAAGTATGAGCAACAAGTAGAGAATACATCACTAGACAGAGAAAAACTGAGAACTTACATATAGAGCCTTTCTCTTCTTTTGTTGTTGTTGCTGTTGTTGTTGCTGCTGCTGGTGTACAGGGTAGTGAGGGTGGTGGGGGGGAATATTGGTTTGGGCAATGCTGGCGAGGGTAGAAGTTAATGTTGGGCTGAGGGTAAGAGTTAGGATAGGGCTGGG